GCCGGAGCCGGGTTCAGTGGCTCAGTCTGTAATCCCACACTTTGGGAGGTCGAGGTGAGTGAATTGCCTGAGCCCGTGGATTCGAGACCCGCCTACGCAACTTAGTGAGACCTCATCTCTACAATAAATCAAAACTTAGCCAGGTGTGGTAGCGCGCGCCTGTAGTTCCGGCTACTTGGAAGGCTGAGGCAGAAGGATCACTGGAGCCCAGCAGGTCGAGGCTGCGGTGGCTGGGAGCGTGCCACTGCACTCCAGTGTGGGCAACAGAGTGAGACTCCCACTCAAAAAAACAAACCAAAAACAAACAAAAACAAAAAATAGTAATAATAACAATATCCATCCTAACAGGTGTGAAGTGATATCTTACTGTAGTTTTGATTTACATTTCTCTGATAATGATGTTAAGCATTTTTTTTTAAACCTGTCTTCTATGGAGAAATGTCTGTTCAAGTCCTTTGCCCATTTATTTTTATATTTATTTATTATTATGATCATTTTTTAGTTGGAGTCTCACTCCATCGCCCAGGCTGGAGTGCAGTGGCACACTCACGACCACCCCAGCATCGACCTGCTGGGCTCCGGTGATCCTTCCTGCTTAGCCTTCCAAGTAGTCAGAACTACAGGTGCGTGCTACCATGTCCGGCTAATTTTTTATTTATTGTAGAGACGAGGTCTTGCCAAGTTGCCCAGGCTGGTCTTGAACCCACGGACTCAGGCAATCCACTCACCTCGGCCTCCCAAAATGCTGAGATTACAGGCTGAGCCATGCCCATTTATTAATCAGGTTATTATTTATCTTTACTATTAAGTTGTGAGAGTTCTTTATATATTTTGGAAATTAACCCATTATAAGATATATGGCTTGCAAATTTTTTCTTCCATTCAGTGAGCTGCCTTTTCCCTCTGTTGGTTATTTCCTTGCTCTACAGATGTTTGATATACTCCCACTTGTCTATTTTTGCTTTTGTTGTCTGCCCTTTTGGTGTTGTATCCAACACCAATGTCAAAACCAACATCAAGAAGGTTTTCCTACTATCACATTGGGGATTAAGTAAAAAAAGGAAAAAGAAAGAAAAAAGAGGAGGCTTTTCCCTTAAGTTTCCTTCTAGGAGTTTTACAGTTACTTTAATCCATTTTGTGATCTTTGTGTATGGTATAAGGTATCGGTGCAATTTCGTTTTTGTGTATGTGTATATCCAGTTTTCCCACCACCATTTGTTGAGAAGATGATCCTTTCTCCATTGTGTATCCCTAGCACCCTTGTCAAAGATGAGTTTATCATATATGCGTGGGCTGATTTCTGGAATCTATATTCTGTTTCGTCCGTCTATATGTCTGTCTTTATGCCAGTACCAGTATGTTATAAGTATTATAAACTTGTAATATATTTTGAAATCAGGAAGTGTACAGCATGGATAAACCTGGAGGACATTAAGTCAAGTGAAATAAGCCTGTCACAGAAGGACAAATATTGCATGAATTCAACCTATATGAGCTCTCTATAATGGTCAAACTTAGAAGCAGGGGATATAATAGTGGTTGCCAGGGGGTAGGAAGTGGTTCAATGACTATAAAGTATCAGCCATGCTAGATGGATACACTCTATGGTTACCTATGGTTAACAATACAGTATTGTGTACTTCCAAATTTGTGAGGAGGGGAGATCTCATATTAAGTGTTCTTAACACAAAAACAAAAACAAAGAGGCAAGGAAACTTTGGGAGATGCTAGGTATGTTTATTACTTTGACTGTGGTGATGAAATCACTGGTTTTTGCATGTGTCCATATTCATCAAATTGTACACATTAAAGATGTATAGATCTTTGTGTATCATTTTACATAACAATAACATCTACCAGCTGGACTTAGTGACTCACACTTATAATCCCAGCACTTTGGGAGGCCAAGGCAGGAAGATTGCTTGAGTTTAGGCATTTGAGACCAGCCTGAGCAACATAGCAAGACCTAAAAAAAAAAAAAGTTTAAAAATCAGCTGGGAGCCAGGCTCGGTGGCCCAGCCGGTAATCCTGCGCCTTGGGAGGCTGAGGTGAGTGGATTGTCTGAGCCCGCGGGTTCAACACCCGCCTGGGCAACTTGGCGGGACCTCATCTCTACAATAAATTAAAAAATTAGCCAGGCGTGGTAGTGCGCCTGTAGTTCCAGCTACCGGAAGGTTGAGGTGGAAGGATCGCCGGAGCCCAGCAGGTCGAGGTTGCAGTGGTTGGGAATGGCCACTGCACTCCAGCCTGGGTGACAGAGTGAGACTCCTACTCAAAAAAAAAAAAAAAAAAATCAGCTGGGCATAGTGGCACACAAATGTAGTACCAGTTACTCAGGAGGTTGAGGCAGGAGGATTGCCTGGGCCCAGGAGGTTGAGGCTGTGGTGAGCTGTGATCGTGCCACTGCACTCCAGCCTGGGCAACAGAGCAAGACCCTGACTCAAAATAAAATAAGATCTACCAACTGTAAATATACAAATAAATAACTTTCATCAACTTATGGAGTTGTGCAAACATCACTACAATCCAGTTTTAAAACATTTCCATCACCCTCTAAAAGTTTTCTTGGGTCCTCTGCAGTCAATTCCTACTCCCACCTCCCCACGCCCAGCCCTAGCCCTAGGCAACAACTGGTCTGCTTTCTGTCTCTTCCGATATGCCTTTTCTGGACATTTCATTTAAATTAAATTATACAATATGTAGTCATTGGCTGTTCTCTGTACCAGTACATACGTTTGACATTTTCCATAATAAAAACAATTTTGTTGAACGATGACTTACATTTATATAGCACTTTAATTTTAAATAGACTTTCCATTTTAGGGCTATTTTAGGTTTACAGCAATATTGAGCAGAAGGTACAGAGAGTTCCCATACACCCCCCGCCCCCGCCCCTACACATACACGGCTTCCCCCTCTGTCAACATCCTCCACCAGGGTGTTATGTTTGTTTCAACGGAGGAACCTTCATCGACACACCGTTAGCACCCAAAGTACATCGCTGGCATTAGGGTTCACTCTTGGTGTTGTACATTCTGTGGGTTTGGACGGTGTACAATGACATGTATCCACCATTACAGTGTGACACAGAGTCACTTAGTTGCCCTACAGATCCCCTGAGCCCTTTGTGTTTTCTAACCTGCTTTCACACACTTCGTCTGAATTTCACCAACCAGGGTGAATAAGGCAGGACAACTCTCCTTACTGAGATTACAGATGAAGAAACAGGCTCAGAAGGCCCACGGAACCTGACTCAGGTCACAAAACCAGCTACTAACTGAGTCAGGATTCGAGTGTGGCCTCCTGTCACCTGGTGAGATATCTGTGCCATCCCGCTGCCTCGCTAGACTGCCCACCGCCCTTGCCGCCCGTCCCATCACTCAGTGCCCATCCCTCCAACACAGGGCTCTTTGGACCAAGCCGGGAGGGCTGAGCTGCACCATGCTGGCTCTGCATCCTCACTCGACAGAACTAAACTCAGGGTCTTGTTTCCTTTCTGGAGTAACAGACAGATTATTCCTCCTCCTCTTTTTCCTTCAGTCTGAGGTACAAGGGGGATGTTGGCTGCCCCAGAGGTGTGAACCCCAAGAAGATGGGGGCCAGCTGGTTTATGTATTTATAAGATACAGAGACAGAAAGAAGATAGTCTGTGTGTATATGTGCTTGTGTGTTCACACGTGTGTCCTTGCCATGGGACATTGGAGGAAAGGTGTATGCATACAGGTGCATGACAGAGGGGACCCCTTGGGTCACGAGTGTATGGCTGTGTCTTCACATATGCCCCATAGTCCATGATCTCGTGACCGGGCCCAGCAGTGAGTGGAAATACCTGAAATGTCTTTGTCTCCTTTCTGTATCTTTTTTTTTTGGTTTAAGTCTCACTCCATCCCCTAGGCTGGAGTACAGTGGCACACTCACGGCCATCCCAGCCTCGATCTGCTGGGCTCCAGCAATCCTTCCACCTCAGCCTTCCAAGCCAGAACTACAGGCACACACTACCACGCCTGGCTAATTTTTGATATATTGTAGAGATGAGGTCTTACCATTTTGCCCAGGCTGGTCTTGAACACACAGGTTCAGGCAATCCTCTCATCTTGGCCTCCCAAAGTGCTGGAATTACAGGCTTGAGCCACTGCGCCCGGCTCCTTTTTGTATCTTAACATTAAAAAAACATTATTGTGTCTTCTCTGTAACCCCGTACTTTGGTATTTTACTAATTATCTTCAGGAAGAATACAGAAGAAACCACTGATGACGCTTTCCTCTGGGGAATGAGGCTGGGTGATGTCTCAGGACTTGTTCCATTTGAATTGTTTGGTCACATATTTGTTATTGTCATAATAAGATGAGAGGAAGTCAGTATTATTATTGGTGAGCAGTGTGTGTTTGCAGGTCTCCCTGAAGACACTGCTTCTGTCAGCCTACTCACTGGGGCTGAGCAGATTGCAAAGTGCTGTCAAAGGCATCCTCTCATTTAAACCACTCATTCATTCCACACATATCTGAGAAATGTTCCTATGTGCCAGGCACAGTTCTAGAAGTTAGGGATATGGCAGTGAGGAAAAGTGATCACAATTCCTGCTTTCCTGGGGAATTACTTTCTACTAGGTGTAGAAAAACACCAAAATTAAAAGTCAAATACACGGGGAGACACCCCTTATCACCAAGGGTGCCTGAACGAAGCATATTTGTATACCTAACCCTAAACTGTACCCCACAATATCAAAATAAAAAATACTGAGGAGCTGGGCTCGGTGGCTCAGCCTGTAATCCCGCGCCTTTGGGAGGCTGAGGTGAGTGGATTGCCTGAGCCCGTGGGTTCGAGACCCGCCTG